CTGCTTCCTGCGGTCGCTGTCTTGCCTTGCTGCCGGGGTACGCGTAGGCCCAGGTTTACCCTTTGCGCGGGGCCGCAGCGGGGCCTCCCGGTAGCCCCGGGGGGTCTGTGTCCCCCTCCGCGCGGGCGGGGAAGGCCCAGTAACGCGTGTCGTGACGCTGCGTGTAGACCTCCTGCTGCTCGTCCCGTCACGCACGGTATTACAGAAGAGAAGTACTGACAGCGTGGCGGCTTTTGCACTGGTGCTTACTTTTGTGAAGAGACATCCTCAAGGACTCGTAACGCAGCGTTACTGGTTTACCCGAACGATACAAAACCACGCTGAAGAACTGTGCTGTCAAGTGGTGCTGATCTACGAGGGTTTTTTTTGTTAGTGTTTTCTCCCGTTGCGAGGGAAAAACCAAAATGGCATCGGGGACAGTAACGAACGCCACTTCCTCTGGAGGATCAAATGACGTGAGCCTGGAGGAACCAAAGAAGATGACAAGGGAAGACTGGAGGAAAAAGAAGGAATTAGAAGAACAAAGAAAACTAGGAAATGCACCTGCTGAAGTGGATGAAGAAGGAAAGTAAGTTTGATTAAAGCTATGGCAGTTCTAAAGCTCCTTGTTAAAAATGTGGATTTTCCTGTTGTGATTACAGAATAATCACGAGAGTGTTTTCTACATGAGTCGCTGTAGAAGTAAATAGTTGAACTTTGAGAATTTGCTTTTAACATTCCGGTTATCCTCAGAAAACAGGCATTTTCCAAAAAATGTGGGTTCGGTGTTTATCTACTGAAAATCTACTGATGGTGCTGCTAAAAAGTCGCATCTATGCAGCTTCTTATAAGTGTTATTTTAAAAGTGACCAAAATATAGTATTGGGGAACTTTACTGCGTCCCTTATCTGTTCCTCCTCTTACTTCTACAAGGCTTGTTGTTTCTGAGAAGAGAAATGTTACTATTTTTGTGCTCAGTAACATTGCATAGAATCAGGAATGTGATTTGGAGTCAGGATTTTAGGTGAGTTAGATGGCAACAAAATCTCAGTGAAAGTTTGTGTTTATTTAGTTTAATTAGGCTTATTTAGCAGTGCACTGTAACAATTTCATTGTTTTGTTATCACTTCTAAAACACTGAACTTTAATGTGAGAGCTGTTTGATAGGCTAAGTTGTTCTGGGTTTTTTTCCCTGTGTCGTGTATTTCTTACAAAACATCTTTTACAGAGACATCAATCCTCACATTCCTCAGTACATATCGTCAGTACCGTGGTACATAGATCCCTCTAAAAGACCTACGCTAAAGCATCAGAGACCTCAGCCGGAGAAGCAGAAACAGTATAGCTCCTCTGGAGATTGGTACAAACGAGGAGTTCAAGAGGTATGCATACTGTGTTTGTGTAAAATGAAGATTTGGGTTGATTTTGTGAGGAAATAAGAAAAGAGACATTGACTCCCTATAAAGGTGTAACTTTGGTTACATGGTTTTGGGAGGGACAGGAGCTGGGAATTCTTATTCAGCAGCCAAGTCATAGTGTTTGGTAATACCCAAAATACATGTTCTGGGTTTGGGTAGGCCACACATGCTTTAGTTGTATTGAAAAAATGGTTTAGTTATTGAGAATTTGTGTATGAATCTGGCCATGAGTTTGTATAACACACTTTTGTTTGTTGTTTAGCATGCTATAGCAACTAGATACCGTAAAGGAGCCTGCGAGAACTGTGGGGCATTGACACACAAAAAGAAAGAATGCATGGAGGTAAACTTGACTTTTGCTGATGTTTTAATGCTTCTGAAAATTGTGAATTCTAATCTTAGTGAAAGATAGCTAGCTGTAGATAAAATAAAAATCATTAATTTTGAAAAAGCTGGTTTAAAAAAGGTTACAGGAATTGAAAGGTGGCTTGAAAATTGCTAAAGAATTTGTATAGGAAAAAGGAAGGGGAAAAATGCTGCTATTCAGGGTTTTGCTCATCAGTTCTGTTTGTAGTCAGCGCTGCAGTAATAGGTGGATATGCTTAGCTCTTCATGTTAATTTGCTTTAACTCAAGTGCTGCTGTGCCTGTCTGTTTCGTGTCAGCTGATGTTTTTTTAATTGTGGCAAAGAGTTAGAAATTGATGGGGTTTGGCGTCTGTTGCACTACTTCAAAATACAGAAGTTAACTACTTGTATTTATTTATAATTCACAGGCTTATAGTGCTGATTTTAATTGGCTTTAGAAAAGCTCGATTGATACTGTTTTTAAAAGGATATCTGAGCAAGTAACGTGTTTTAGTGTAATGAACTGATCTCACCTTTTCTTCCTTTCAGAGACCCAGGAAAGTTGGAGCAAAGTACACAGGCATGAATATTGCACCAGATGAACACGCGCAGCCTCAGCTGATGTTTGATTATGATGGAAAGCGGGATCGCTGGAACGGCTACAACCCAGAAGAGCACATGAAGATTGTAGAGGAATATTCCAAGGTTGATTTGGTATGTAGGTGCTATGGTTTACTGGGGAAAGCTTCAGTGTTTGGCTTGGCTGGCGGGAGGAACAGTTGTTATGTGCACTGTTAATAATTGAGTGCTATCACACAGCACATGC